TCCTGTTAGGACTATTCCTAATATTATTCATAATCAAACTTTACTTTTGCTCTCTCTCTCTCTCTCTCTCTCTCTCTCTGGATGCATAATTATGATTATTTTGGTTCATATTGGTTATTTAGGGGGGATTTGGATTTGAGCTTGGGTAGAACTTTGTTCTTGTAGATCCTCTTGAAGATTTAACTCATCTAAATTAAAGTCATTAATATCTAAATCTATTTGTTGAGAATCACCATAGCCACTTTTTAATTTACTGGTTTGTAATAATTGAGTAATTTGTTTAGTGTTAATTAGTTTGCTGTGATAAATTGTTCCGGAATAGAGTTCATGCTTTGGAAATTTGATTTCTTTGGGCAAGGTTTGATTGTGTTCTTTGGATACTTGAAGTTGTTTGACAAATTCGGAATTTTTTTTATCATTGGTTTCATTTCCTCAGTTAAGTAAAATTCTATTCAAATTATAAGCAATAGGGCGTTTCAATGGGTCAACATCTCAACATAGGTTAATAAAATCCTCTAACAATTGAGGGATTTTGATCTTAAATTCAGGTCTTAATCCTTGGCATACTCTTAATGCTAAGAATTCATCATGAGCTGCATCATGATAAGGAGGTAAACCAGTGAGCATTTCATACATAATTATCCCAAAAGAGTAAATATCACTAGCTTGGGTATAGGGTTTTTCTTGTAAAACTTCAGGGGCTATATAAGGAAGAATTCCAAAGATTTTACCTTCTTCTTTTTGATAGTTGGCAGGTTGACTTAAACCAAGGTCAGTAATACGGCACAGCGTGTGTTCATCTTCATCAATTCCCTTACTAATTAAAATATTACCACTATGAAAATCTCGGTGCACCAATCCTTGTTTATGAATTTCATTTAACCCAAAAGCAATAGAATGTAATTTCTCAAGTTTATCCTCGAAACTTAGTTCACTATATCTATTCTTTAAAAAGTCCCTGAGATTGCCATCTTTCATATAGTCCATAACCATTAGATAATTCTCAGACCTAGGGTCTTGGGAAATGCCGTGGCATTTTACAATTTCCGCACTATCATCAACCAACTTATTATTAGCAATTTCCATTAAAAATTCCAGAGTAATATTTTGAGAATTAGTTAAACTTTTTAAAACAACTTCCTGTGGTTCCTCGTTCTTTCTTGTTCATTTAGCCTTATAAATCTTACTAAAACCACCCTCAGCTAAATATTCAATGTTAGTAAACTGTTCGTAAGAAATTTTTTTTACTCTATCTTTATCAATTGCTTTTGCTTGTTGTTTTTCAATAAACTTCTCGATTAGTTGTTGACCAGTTATTTCTTTTAAATCTTGTTGTCATTCTCGCTCTTGACATGGTTGGCATCAATCTTTACTAGTGTTGGGTTGTTGACACTTCTGACATCGACCATACTTTTCACGATTTTTCAACAAAGGAACAATTTCAATTAACTTACAGGTTGGTCTTAATTCAGTCAAACAACCGATTCTCCACAAACTATTAGGTAATTTAGTTAAGTTAACCTCATTGATATCAGTATCATTAATACTAAGTTGCTTTAATTGTTTCATACCACTTAAATAATCAAGTGAACCAGTAAATTTATTGTAAATATTTTGATTTATTTTTTCTTTAATTGTTTTATCATCATGATCATTATAATTTCCTAAGTAGAGTTCTTCTAAACTAGTATAAGGAACTAAAAAAGAAAGGTCTTGGGTAGGGAAGTTATTATTTGGTAAACCTAGAATTTTTAGGTTAGTAGGATTATTGGGTAAATTAATATCAGTTAGTAAATTATTTTTACAATAAACTTTCTCTAATTGGGAACAATTACTTAGGTTCAGAGAGGTTAATTTATTAGAATGACAATCTAATCTTTTTAAATTAGTAAAATCAGAGAGATCTAAGTAACCTTCTAGATTTTCACAATAAATATTTAATTCTTTTGTTTCGTTTCTTTCTTCTTTTAGATAATTTTTATCCAATCATTCTTGAGCATTTACCATAATAATATTAATTTTATCTACATGTAGATCTACATACATAAATAATAAAAATATTATATAGATAAAAATGAGGTTTTGACAAGTTCTCTGAACCCTTGTCTAGCAAGGAGAGATAAAGAAAACTTCTGTATATATATATATATATATAGTTTTAGTTTGTATTTAACGAGTATTAAAATCCTTATGGATTAACTTCAAAATCAACTAGTAAGTTACTACCCTTATCTCCTTCTTCTACCGTGAAATTATATTCTTGTCCTTCATTTAGCCAACTCCAACGATCTTCCTTGACCTTAGAAGAAAAAACAAAGATAGATTCACCATTGTTTGTTTTTAAGATTAAATAAGTTCTACCATTTTTGTCCGTCCTTTCTAATTTTTCCTTAATAGTTTCTTTAATATTTTTTGTGTTATTCATGTAATTGTATATTTTTAAGTTTATGTTTTTCTTTGTATGTTTTAATTTTTATGAGAAAGTAGAACAGCAGGGAAAAGATTATGTATCAAAAAATAATGATTATGGCTAGCCAAATTAAACCGGATAATCAACTTGGTTGCCAACTTCAAAGCAAGAATTTACTTTTGCCTACCTTTGCTTCATTTCCATTAGCAAATTGACTTACTGCCCAAAAGAAAGGGGGATAAGGATAATTCTGAGGATAGTAGTGAGGTAAGTCAGGAGGCGTTTTAGAAAAGATTAAGGGTCGCACTATGGTGTAAAAAAAGTAAATGGTAGGGTTGAGTCAGTTAACAACTAAACTAAGGGCCTTTGTTTTTACTAATTTGTTAATTTGGCAATATTTTCAAAAGTAATAAAAAACTAGCCCGGGAGCTAGAACGTGCCAAAAGAGGTTATAAAAAAGTCAAACGTAAATAGTTTTAATACTACCTACTAAGGGATAAGTTATTTGTGGGTTCTTGAATGCACTATGAATAGTTAAATAAAAACCCCCGCAACAAAAAATTACTCCACTTAAAAAATTAGTTTCTGCTACTATCATGTCCCACATTTGTTCACTAAAACTACTTTCTTTTCTATCTTTTTTAGAAAGAATGAATAATTTATAGATTGCTCAGGGGACAGTTATCAAGGAGGCTCAAGCAGACCACCAAGTAAAAGCTCACAATCAATATCTTAACTCGCTTAATTTAACGTTGTATTTAATATGAGTGGCTTGGTCATAAAAGGCAGAAGCGATAACCGGAAGAAGGTGAAAAAAAATAATAATCCAAAGGAGAGTTTTTTTTAATGATGATTTTTGTTTGGGCATTTATTGATATGGTAAATATGTTTTACAAGCACAAAAGATTTTTTTTAATTCAATGGTGCTCGTTATAAAATAAAATTATATAGAACCCTAGAAAATAACCAAAAAATATATGGATTATCATGGTAAACAGACTATATCTAAAATATGAGTTAGTCCCGTGCCATTAGGCACAAAAAAAGAGAATAAATAAACTTCTCCCTTTCGTGACTAGTAGCCTTGATAGACTAGTAGCGACTTTCCCTAGAAGTGAAAAATAGGTGAAAGAATATTCAGATTAGTTCTTACCAATTACCCTAATTTGAATGTTTTTATAAAAAAAAGTAATTGGTTCAGTTTTGCTAGACTGGAAAAATCTAACCAAAATAATAAAGTTAAGGAAAAAATAATATGGTAAATGCAAAAAGATGCCTTGCTGTGGGACAAAAAAACAGCAAAGAAAGTAGTGAATAGATATGCCAAAGAGTTTTTGTGTAAATTGTAATAGTTGACAAGATAGTTGATATGATGCATGTGGAGAGCGGTGTGCTAATGAATGCCGCGAGCGTTGTAGTAAGTGTAATAGATTTTTTAATACCGGAGAATTAACTAGACCTTCCACTTATAATGTTCCTGTTTTAAATGATTCACAGATGAGAGCAATACAAACTAATATTGATGCAATGATAGAACGGAGTGGTGGAAAAAACGAGTATGAATATAAGATAGAGGTTAAAACTGAAAAGGGTTATTCTGTCACTCAATACATTACAGGAAGAAGACGTTAAAGTATTATGACAAACAAAAAAAAAAAAGAAAATAAAAAAAATATTGTTCCTATTGTTACTGCTGAGAATTTACAACAAGAAAATAAGAATTTTTTTCCTTCCATCGATTTAAGTCAGAATAGATATATTTCTAGTGTGAGTTTTTCTTTGATTGAAAAACCTACTAGAAGTTCAGGAGAGGGGAAAAAATTATGAGAAAGGAAAATAGTTAGGGATGAAAAAGGCGGTATTGAAATTAGCGAAAGTTTAGATAACAAAGTTTTAAACGAGCGGGAGGACGGTGCGGTTGTTCCTACGGTGAAAGAAAATTATAAGGGAAATAAAGAAGAAGTTTCAGAAAATTTGACAGAAGAGGAAGAAATAATTCTCCGCTCTCGTAAATGACAAAGTGGAAAGAATGAGTTTGAGGAAAAATTGACTATAAAATTTGATAAAGGTATCAGTAGCCGTCGACTTACTGATGGAGGTCAGGTCAATTTTGTTGAGTATCAGCAAATTACTCCTATGGAGGTTGACCAACCTAATACTTCTAGTCCTCCAATCGAATCAGACTTTAAACAATTGCTATCTGATGATGAAATTTGAAAGGCAGATAAAGAACAGTTAAAAGATTTGAAGAAGCGTGTGGAGGCAGAATTAGAAATTAGAGCAAAAGTTGAAGAGAGTTCAAGTAATAGTAGTTCTCAAACTTGTAGAATAGAAGTAAAACCTAAATCTTAATAACTATAAACAATTAAACAATAAATATTAAAGGCATACCGTATTAACTTTCTTATTGATTAAGAAGGGGGGTTCACCAACTCCCCCTAATAATTGAAACCAAACCTTTGAATTATTAGCATTGTACCTTAATAAATGCTTATTAAAAACATATTTTTTACTTTCATATATCAGTTAAACAAACTATAAAATTTATTATTATGCGAATAAGACCAGCCGAACCAAGACATTCATTTAGTATTTACTTGCCAACTTCTTTATATCATAAATTAGTAAACAAAGCAGGAAAAGGAAAAATTAACACTTTTATTAAGCAGGTATTAGAGGAAAAATTGATAAAGGAGGAAAAAAAAGAAAAAGAAAAATTAAGGCAACAACTCATTAAAGGTTATCAAGCAGTAGCCAAAAGTCAAAAAAGACAGACAGAGGATGAAATGTGAGATGAAACAACTAAGGATGGATTAAACTAGCATGAGTAAGTTACAAAACAAGAAATCTCCCTATCCATTTCCTCATTATGGAGAAATTTATCTAGTCTATTTCAATCCTAAAAAAGGCAAAGAAATTGGTAAACTTCGTCCAGCATTGGTAATTAGCAATGATATCCAAAACGAATATGATCACCATATTATCGTGGCACCTTTATCTGACGAGGATTGGGAAAATTTGGCTGAAATTCAGCATCTCGAAATATTAATTAGAGTTAATTCTATTAATGGTTTAGACAAAGATAGCAAAATTTTGCTTAACCGAGTGCGAGCCATTGACAAAAAATTCCGTTTACGAGATTATTGCGGAATGGCTAGTCAGGAGATAATGGAACAAGTAAACAAAGGTTTAGAACTAGTTTTGAATCTTAGAAGAGAATTTTAATTTCTTTAAGGTCAGCATAGTATCCCTTTAAATAAGAAATACTGTTTATAGGCATATACCGAATAAAACTAGTTACTTCTCTTTCGCCTAATGAAAATAAAGAAAAGGAGCGAAAGGTAACTAAACAAAGCATCTTTCTTTTATTATATTGAATTGAACTTTAAAGTTCAAAACCTCCAGTAATTCCTATTTTTATTACTTCCACTTTCTCAGCGCTCTTGATTTCTTTTTAACAACAGTAAAATTTGTTTATAAGTAATGTTTGATTTGATAACTAACTTTCAACCTCGCGGCGATCAACCACAAGCTATTGCTAAAATAGTTAAGAACATTGAGGAAAACAAAAAAGAACAAGTTCTTTTGGGAGCGACGGGTACAGGGAAAACTTTCACCATGGCTAATATTATCCAAAGAACCCAAAAACCTACCTTAATTTTGGCTCATAATAAGACCCTAGCCATGCAAATCTATCAAGAAATGCAAGGTTTTTTTCCACATAATAGAGTTGAATATTATGTTTCTTACTTTGATTATTATCAGCCGGAAGCTTATAAACCTGCCAGCGACACTTATATCGGAAAAAAAGTACAAAGAAACGCCAGTATTGCTAAAATGCGTTTAAAAACTTTAAACTCTTTAGTTACTGACGCATCCGTAATAGTAGTAGCATCGGTAGCAGCTATTTATGGCTGTTTTAACCCTAATTCTTACCGAAAAGTAGTTCTTCATTTAGAAAAAGGTCAATCGATCAATGAGGAAATAATTAGTTCAAAATTAATCCATCTAGGCTATAAAGAGGACAAAAAAATTAGTCCAGGAAGTTTCCAAACCAAAAAAAATAGTATTTCTTTTATGATCGGCTGGGAAGAAAATTATTATTTTCAAATAAATTTTTCTGACAAAGACGAAATAATACGGATAGAAAAAAGAAACAAGCAGACGGGAGAAAGAGTTCGGGAAGTTACCAAAATTGCTATTCCGCCCAGCCAAGACTACGTCGGAGAAGAAGGAGAAGATTTAAAAAAACTTTTAGAAAATATTGCTGAAGAATTAACAAGTTGCAAGAAAAAATTACAGGAAGAAAAAAAATTTTTAGAAGCAGAGAGACTAGAAAAAAGAATTCAAGAAGACCTATTTAACTTGCGTGAAACAGGAGTTTGCCCCGGCATTGAAAATTACTCGCGTTATTTTGATGGGCGGAAAACAGGAGAAACTCCTTTTACCTTATTAGATTATTTCCCCCAAGGATTTTTAACTATCATTGACGAATCCCATATCACTATTCCCCAAGTAAAAGCTATGTATAATACTAATCGCCACCGGCTAGAAAATTTAATAAAATATGGTTTTCGCTTACCATCAGCTTTAGATAATCGACCCCTGAACCAAGATGAATTTTTTCAAAAACTTAACTTTACTCTTTATGTTTCAGCCACACCCGGAAACTTTGAATTAGATAAAGTAAATCACCAACCAGTCGAACAAATTATCCGCCCAACTGGTCTCTTGGATCCTCAAATAGAAGTGAGAAGTTCCCATAATCAAATTGCTGATATTATGAAGGAAATAACTGAAAGAAGTGGAAAAGGAGAAAAAGTTCTTATTTATGCTTTAACTATTGTAATGTCTGAAGAAATTGCTAATTTTCTTCAAGAGAGAAATATTCGAGTAGTTTATTTACACAGCCGATTAGAAATTTTTGACCGTTATCAAGCCATCACCAGTTTACGGCGTGGAGTATATGACGTAATAGTTGGGATCAATTTACTAAAAGAAGGAATAGATTTACCTGAGGTATCATTAGTATGCATTTTAGACGCTGACAAACCAGGTTTTTTGCGAGACACACGCTCCTTAATTCAAATCATTGGAAGAGCTTCCCGTAACAGCAGCGGCAAAGTTATCCTCTACGCCGATGAAATTACCACCAATATGTTAGGAGCCATTGAAGAAACTAATCGCCGCCGCCAAATCCAACAAGAATACAACTATCAAAAAAATATTATTCCGCAAACAGTTCAAAAGCCAATCAAAGATATAAATCTAGACCATGAAATAGCCACTCTAGTTGAGAAAGCTCAACGAGGAGAAATGGAAGATAAAGAATTGGTCAAACTGATCAAAGATTTAAGAAGAAAAATGAAAAGATCTACTCGCGAGTTCAAGTTTGATCAGGCCATTGCTTTTCGCAACGCTCTCTTAGATTTGGAAAAACTAGAAGCAAATCTATAAAAAATTACTTACTCTAACTTTTTTTCTTCTTCTTACTTGTCTTTTCAATATTCCCTTAAATTTTATCTTTGCTTTTTTTCTTATAATTTAGACGGTTGACTAATAATCATCCTATACCTACCAAATTAACTGCAAATAAAATAATTAAAAAAATTATTCAGTTTTTTTCAGTTGAACTTAATCTTGGGCTAGAAGTTGCCGGAGTTTGAGCCGTTAATTGTTTTAAACTATTGGCCAAAAATTCTTGTTTAACCGTAAATAGTTGTTGATAATCAGCAGCCTTCAATATTTTTTGCCTAATATGAGAGTCTACCGAATTTGGAAATAAAGTTTCTAAACCCCCAAGTTCCATTTTTATAAAGGCAATTAAATCTCTTTTGAAAGCCTTGTCTTTCTCGTTAAGGGCTGCTTTTAGATCAGTTACTTCTTGGGCTAGTCTCTGATTAGTTGTGGCAGGATCTTTTATTAATTCTTCAATTCAACTAACTAATTTATCAACCGTTAACTCCTCCGTTTTTAAACCAAGTTGCAGAGAATCATTAATCTGTTGAAGTAGAGTTTGCTCCTTTTCTTTTAACTCATTTTGTAAACGCTGGTAATCGCCCAAACAACAACAAGGCTTTGGGCACTGGTAAGTATCTAATTTGTGTTTGTAATTATCTCTTTCTGCCTTAACTGCTTTATAATCAGCCAAAGTAGGACAATTTTTTAAATCAAACAACACCCCTTTTCAATCATTGATATTAGAAATATTAAATTCGGTTAAAATCTCATTTTGGAGGCTATTGGCTCGTGACCTTTCCGCTTGTCAATTGCTTTTAACCGTGTTAAATTCAGTAATAAGTTGCTTTAATGACATCGGAGTTCCATCGTCATTAGAAGGCATGATTGGTAAATTATTGAGACTTTTTACTCGTAAATGGTTCTTGGAATTTTTTATTGTTACTTGCCCCTCTTTCAAAAATCTTTTTAATTTATCATGTTCCTCAGGAGCAATCTGATTTTCAGCAAGTTTCTGATAAGCAACTTTTCAATCTTTTTCTGTTTGCCTTAATTTGGCTTCTAAATTGCTAACCTCGTTTGCTTTTTTAGTTAGTTGGGTTTGTAGTTCTGTCAGGTAGTTTTGATTTTTAGTCTCTAAGTCTACTTGGCTTGCTTTCATGGTGGCTACCAAGTTTTGGGAGCGCTTATAATCACTGTTTAATTTTTTTAAATCAGTTTCTAGTCGTTGCTTTTCAAGATCTTTTTGCTCTAAATTACTTTCCAGTTTTCTAATTTTTGCGGTCAAACTATCTTGTTCTTTTTTATTACTTTCTATTATGGCTTGTCAATCTTTCGGAACACCTTTCAATTTATTCTTTAAATTGTGATTTTCAAGGACTAAGTTTCCCCCTTGACCGGTGGCGTAATTTAGTTCCATTCTTAGACGACTATTTTCCTCATTGATCGCTGCTAAATCTTCCTCATATTTGGTATTAGCGGTGGAGAGTTCGGTATTAATGTCTTCTAAGGATTTTAATCTTTTTTTTAAATCGCTACCATTTTTTCCCTGTGCTTTTTTTCTTTCCTTCCGAGCTAATTTTAATGTGTCTATCTTATTTTCTAATTCTTCGATTTTGTTCTTTAACTCTTCCTGTAATTGGTCTTTTTCTGCTAATTTGGCTCGGGTAGCAGTCAGAGCAGTTTCGGCATTTTCCACTCGCCCTTGTAATTCTTTATATTCTGCCTCGGTGGTGTCAGACTGGCTTCTTAATCGGTCAGCCTCTGCTCGGGCGGCAGTTAGTTCCTCACTTAAATTAGCAGCAACATCAGTTTGATTTTTTAATTCTAACTCTAAGGTGGCAATTTGTCTCCGAGCGTTGGCTAATTCTCCTGCCAAGCGATCAATATCTAGTGCTTTGTCGCGATAGTAATTAATCAATCCGTCTCTTTCCCGTTCTAAATCGAGATAATCAGCCTGTAATTTTTCCCTCTCTCTGACTGCCGCGGCGGTCGCAGCGCTAATCTTTTCTTTCTCGGCAATTAGGTTATTCACAAAAGTATTCAGAAATTTAATGGTGCTATCACTGGTGGCTAACTGTTTAGTCAAGGTGGCATTTTTGTTGGTCTCAACTTTTAATTTTGCTTTCTCTTTCTCTTTCTCTTTCTCTTTCTCTTTCTCTTTCTCTTTCTCTTTCTCTTTCTCTTTCTCTTTCTCTTTC